ACAGCTTCCGGGTCATGTGGCCAGCATGACTAAGCCGCTTCTGGCGAACCAGAGCAGCGCACAGGAAACGCCGTTTACCTTCCCGCCGGAGTGGTACCTATTTATCTACTTGCACTTTGACGTGCTTTTGAACTGCTAGGTTGGCAGGACCAGGGACCAAGCAATGGGAGCTCACCCCATCGCAGGGATTCGAACCGCCAACCTTCTGATCGGCAACCCACAGCGCCACCCGCGTCCCACTCCAATGAAAATAGGGACGTCCTATTCCGTTATTATTATTATTATTATTATTATTATTATTATTACCCTGCCCATCTGACTGGGTTGCCCTCCTGTATGCGCTTGGCTCTCTCCTGCAAAATACTTGACAGTTTGGAGACGCCCTAAGCAAAGGCTGTACTTAAATAAATGCAGAAGCAAGCAGGAAAGAATTGGATCGTTGCTTTTGTGGTTCTTATGGGGAAACATAGCCAGTCAGATGCATGGCCAGAGCGGTTTGGTATGAGGAAACCCAAACCTTTTTAAAGGTGTACTACACTGTTTCCGCTTGGTGTCACCACACTTATTTATTTAATGCTTTTCTATCCTTCCATTAGGGATGCGGCTGGTGCTGTGGGTTAAACCACAGAGCCTAGGACTTGCCGATCAGAAGGTCAGCGGTTCAAATCCTGGCGACGGGGTGAGCTCCCGTTGCTCGGTCCCTGCTCCTGCCACCTAGCAGTTCGAAAGCACATCAAAGTGCAAGTAGATAAATAGGTACCACTCTGGCGGGAAGGTAGACAGCGTTTCCGTGCACTGCTCTGGTTTCGCCAGAAGCAGCTTAGTCATGCTGGCCACATGACCCGGAAAAACTGTCTGCGGACAACGTCAGCTCCCTCGGCCAGTAAAGTGAGATGAGCGCCGCAACCCCAGAGTCATTCGCGACTGGACTGAACTGTCAGGGGTCCTTTACCTTTGCCTATTCTTTATCCCAGGGGTGGGGGAACTTTTTCAGCCCTTGTAGGAAACCTTATTTGGACTGTGTACCAGGGGTGGGCAAGGCCAGGGTCCAAAATAGGTGTTGACAATGTAGATAATAAAAATTGCCTGTTGTGACTGATTGAGCAAAGGAGAAGAAACCTGACCTTGCAGTTGTTGTTGGACCCTGACTTTCATCAACCCCAAGCAGCAAGGCCAGTGGTCAGGGATGATGGGAATTGTAGTCCGGAAACATCCCAAGGGGGAAGAGGTTCCTTGCCTCTGTTTCAAGATGGAAGCTCTTGTAAGTCCTTTCTGTCTATCACACCCTCTCTCTCTTTGTCTTTTCTTTCCACATGTTTGCCTTCTCTTGCTCGCCACCCCATTCTCCCAGTTTATTGTGGGAGAAGATGGCTCCTGTGGGGTGCTTTATGAACAAGCCGTTGCTGAAGGACCACCAATCGCCACCATCATAGACCACGTCCTTGACTACTGGTAATGCCCTCACCAGGAGCATGGAAGGGATGTGGGGCTCGTCAGATTCAGGTCCAGGAGAAGGCTTTGTGCAATGGCGATGCTGAGGAAGAGACAAGCATATTTCTGTTTTAAAAGATTGTTCTAAGGATGTTAGGTGGTCAAGCTCTCTTAAAAATTACTGTGAGGAAGTTTAGGAGCCTTAATATATAGCAGTCTTTGTCCATGGAGTTTTCTTGGCAGGGATACTGGAGTGGCTTGCCGGTTCCTGCTCCAGGTGGATCACGTTTGGTCAAAACTCTCCACTATGACCTGTCCATCTTGGGTGCCCTGCTTGGCATAGTTCATAGCTTCTCTGAGTTTTTCAAGCCCCTTTGCCACGGCAAGGCAGTGATCCATGAAGGGGGATCACTGCCTATATAGCAGGAAGACAGGAGTACCTGGCGTGCTCTGGTCCATGGGGTCACGAAGAGTCGGACACAACTAAACAACAACAAAACAATATATAGCAGGAGTAGGGAGGTGCACTGCTAGAGACGTAAAGGTCTGGAAGTAAAAACAGAAAAACTGGGGGAGATTGTTTAAGGGTCCTCAGAGGGCAGCTCTTGAGTTTCATATGAAAATGAATAAATATTGCATGCCCAGCACTGGTTCCTCTTTTGTCGAAAGCTGCCCTGTGCAAGGGGAGGACTTCCTGTGTTCTTCAACACTGGGAGGCAGACGAAAGATGGGAATTGGAACTTCCTGTTTTGAGAAAGCCTTTTTTAATCTTTTTTTTTTTTTGTCCATTATGCAATGATCTGAGGAACTCACAGTCCTGGCTACATTTGAACATATTTCATATAGACATCAGTTTTGTGTGGATACCAGTCTGGATATTTGGAAGGTTTATAGTACCTTATATGCTGAATTTACGATGTTATTGACGGTGGTTGTATTCATAATGTGAACTGAACTTCACATTATGAATATCCGGAGTGTGTCTCCCTTGCCATAGGGAGACAAACAATTGTGGGTCTTTAACCCATCACTTTCTTTTTAATGCATTTTCTCTCTCTCTCTCTCACTCTCTCCTCCCCAATTGCCAGCAAAGATCCTGTCCCAGTCCGCGCCCCACTGATACCTCTGCAGTTACCCAAAAAACTCTACTTCTGTTTCACTCCAGAAATCAAACGCGACATCGAACACGCCAAACAGAACCTGGACATGTGAGTGTGTGTGTGTGTGTGTGTGTGTTTGAGAGTGGTGTCACAATCAGAGTGGGATTTGGGCAGGAGGAGGAGAACCACAGCCAAATTGGAGACAATGGTGTGGTCTCATTCTTGAGTGTTTCCCAGTGTGAAAACCAGGTCCATCTTGCTCCTTGTGCTGGGTTTTCATTCAGAGCTCCCTGCCACAGCTCAGGGAAGAAGATCACAGTGATTCTTGTTTCTCCCCATTAAGCCTTGTCTCTTAGCTTCCGAGTCGCAGAGACCTGGCTGTCGCAAGGGCAGCAGAGTGTTCTTTTGTACCAAACAGATGTTTTTTAGGGACAGTTGAGATGAGGTTAAGCCGGCGCGAGGGAGGCTGGCGCTGTACAATGTGTCCCTCTGTTTCCTGTCCGCCACCTCCATTTGCATATGAAAGGCAGCACATGGGAAGCTGCAACTTACCAGAGATGAGCAACAGAGGCCTCTTGGGAACACAGGAAGCAGCCCTCTTCCACGAGAACAGAAGAATCCATGGCTGGATTAGTCTGCCATCCTGTTTTGAAAGGCTCCAAACAAATGCCCATGGGAAGCTCACAGGCAGGAGCTGAGCGCAACAGTGCTCTCCCCAGTATTCAGAAGGTGGTTTATCATAGCCTAAGACCTCCGGGTATAGGGCAGTATATAAATTAAATAAAAAAATAAAATAATAATATCATGGCTATAATAATAATTTACTATTTAACATCTGGCTGAGTTTCCCCAGCCACTCTGGGCAGCTTCCAATCGAGTGTTAAAAACAATACAGCATTAAATATTAAATACTTCCCTGAAGAGGGCTGCCTTCAGATGTCTTTTAAAGATAGGATAGCTGCTTATTTCCTTCACATCTGAAGGGAGGGCGTTCCACAGGGCAGGGGCCACTACCGAGAAGGCCCTCTGCCTGGTTCCCTGTAACCTCACTTCTCGCAATGAGGGAGATAGCCTTACCCTCCATGAATTTGTCTGATCCTCTTTCCAAGCCGTCCAACTTGGCCATCGCTGCCTTTTGTGGGAGCAACTACCATTGTTGAACCATGTGCTGTGTGAAAAAAGTATTTCCTTTCCCCCCCTGTCCTGAATTGTCCCATCATGCAGCTTCCTCGGATGTCACTGAATTCTTAATGTTATGAGAAGGGGCAAAAAACATCCTTCCTATTGACATCTCCCTTCCTCCCCCCGCTACTTGCCTCCCCCCCCAAATTTTTTTCCACACATGCCCTTTCTGATCATTTGGGTCATTCCAATTCCGATTGTTGTCCATCTAGCAGTGGCTCTCAGGGCCTTGGGCTGCTATAGAAAAACCTGGTCCCAAGGTTTCAGAGCTTGAAGTACTACCAAACGAAACCCTAGGGAACGGCGGCGCTGTGGGTAAACCACAGAGCCTAGGACCTTGCCGATCAAGAAGGTCAGCGGTTTTGAATCCCCGCAACGCGTGACTCCCGTGCTCGGTCCCTGCTCCTGCCAACCTAGCATTCGAAACACTCAGAGGCAAGTAGATAAATAGGTACCAACTCTGGCGGAGGTAAACGGTGTTCTGTGCGCTCTCTGGTCGCCAGAAGCGGCTTAGTCATGCTGGCCACATGACCCGGAAGCTGTACGCCGGCTCCCTCGGCCAATAAAGTGAGATGAGCGCCGCAACTCCAGAGTCGGCCACGACTGGACCTAATGGTCAGGGGTACCTTTACCTTTACCAGAAACCCTGTCAGTTCTGGGTGCAGAAACAGCACAACTGACGCAGAATTCTAGTGGCGGAATTTTGCACTGGGTGAAGATTCTACCATGCTGCACTGTGGCATTAAAGCTGGCCTTGGAAGATGGTAGGATAAGGTGCATAGTTTCTGGCATAGCAAGGGTGTGTGTGGTCAGGCAGGCAGGCAGGCTGTAAGCTGCAGCTGAGAGTTGTTGCTAATCTGCCTCTCTTTTCTCATTTATCACAGTCTCATCACCGACCTCGACATCAGCTGTTTCACTTACTGCGGGTTTGGCAAGGAGCTTCTCAAACGCCTTAGGCTGAGCCCAGACTCTGTCCTGCAGGTGGCACTGCAGCTAGCCTATTACAGGTGAGGTGACTGCCTTGACAGGTAAAGGTCAGTCCCTTCTCCCCCCCTGGGGAAAAGCCCGCAAGAGCCTCACAGAGCTTGTGTGTGGCTCTTGGGGGCTTTTCCTGCCTGCCTCCCCCCTGCATTCGCTCCATAAGACGCACACACATTTCCCCTTAATTTTTAGGGGGGGGAGTGCGTGTTATGGAGCGAAAAATACGGTATATGGAATTGCTCATCTGAGGAAGGGCAGGCTGTGTGCATTGCGCAGAAGGGCTGTGTGTGTTTGTGTCTTTGTGCCTGACTGCTGTGCCTTCCTTAGGGCACATGGGGAGCTGTGCGCAACCGCCGAGTCGGCCTCTCTCCGTCGCTTCCACCGCGGCCGGACGGAGACCATTCGCTCCACTACCTCTGCCGCGCTGGCCTTTGTCCGAGCTATGGCTGACGACGACTGTCAGGTATCCAGCCCCTGCTTCCTAAGGAGGCTTGAAAGGACAAGAGTGGACCGCACTAACTTTGGATATGATGAACTGTGGCTAGAGTGTTGAACCAGGACCTGGGAGACTAGGCCACACTCACACCTTTCATTTCAAGCCCTATTATATAACACATCATCAATGGTCATGGCTTCTGGCCCTCTCAGAGAGAGAACCAATGGGAAGTGTAGTTTTCTAAGGGTGCTGAGAGTTGTTAGGAGACCCCTCTTCCCCTCACAGAGCTATAATTCCCAAAGTTCCCTGCAAAGAGGGATGGGTTATCAGGTGATCCCACTGCCTTGAATTTGGGGAGTGGGGGTGGCTTGGAAAGAGGGCATTCTCTGTGGCAGACCCTAAGTTGTGGAATCCCCACCCCAGAGGTGCATCTGACACCTTCATTATGCAATAATAATAATAATAATAATAATAATAATAATAATAATAATAATAATATAAATAAATAAAATCATGTGTACCCTGTCCACTCTAGGCAGCCTCGCAACAAAATATAGAAACGCAGTAAAAACTGTACACAGTTTTCCAAAAGATGCCCTTCTTCACTCCTGACCTTTGACATCCAAGATACATATATATTTAGGTCCCAGTCTATTCTCTTGACTACAATTTATTTTGTGAATTGTGGTTTTTTTTTTTATTGTTGTAAGCCACCTTGCGACTTCATGGTGAAGGGCGGATAAGAAATCTAATGCATTGGATGCTATATTCAATTAAATTTTACGCAGAGTAGAAGTGTTCAAATGAATGGACCTAACTTAGTTACATTTATTAATTTCAGGGTGGGTCTGTTCTGAGTATAGGTAAAGGTAAAGGTACCCCTGCCCGTACGGGCCAGTCTTGCCAGACTCTAGGGTTGTGCGCTCATCTCACTCTATAGGCCGGGAGCCAGTGCTGTCCGGAGACACTTCCGGGTCACGTGGCCAGCGTGACATCGCTGCTCTGGCGAGCCAGAGCCGCACACAGAAACGCCGTTTACCTTCCCACTAGTAAGCGGTCCCTATTTATCTACTTGCACCCGGGAGTGCTTTCGAACTGCTAGGTTGGCAGACGCTGGGACCGAACAACGGGAGCGCACCCCGCCACGGGGATTCGAACCGCCGACCTTTAGATCGGCAAGCCCTAGGCGCTGAGGCTTTTACCCACAGCATATAACCTAGTAAGAAATGCAGTGGTACCTCGGGTTACAGACGCTTCAGGTTACAGACTCTGCTAACCCAGAAATATTACCTCGGGTTAAGAACTTTGCTTCAGGATGAGAACAGAAATCGTGCTCCGGCGGCACGGCGGCAGTGGGAGGCCCCATTAGCTAAAGTGGTGCTTCAGGTTAAGAACAGTTTTAGGTTAAGAACGGACCTCCAGAACGAATTAAGTTCTTAACCCGAGGTACCACTGTAATGATAACAATGTCAATAGGCAAATACCACCTATTATTATTATTATTATTATTTGTGTGAGGGAGGCTTGGAACTTCCTGCCCTCCATCTGTGATCCATTTCCTCCTCTTCTGCACACTAGGCTCCGGAAAGATTGTCTTTGCTGAAGAAAGCAGTCGAGGTTCACAGCACCCTCACAGAGCAGGTAACAAAATCCCCTGTACAGGAGTCGCTTGGTTGCATAAAGAATAGACACTGGAAGCACTTATTGCCGACTTTTACAGCTCACTTTGAATGACTAATTTCCCCTCTCTGCTTTTCCCCTGACCCTTCCTTCACTTTGTGCGACTTGTATTTTTATTTAGCTTGCAAAACCGTTGTCATGCATGCTCTCTCTTTCTCTAATTGATGTGAGCGGCAGTGGGATACACGAATCGTCTGAAAAGTGAGATTACAAAAATGTAACCAACAAAGAAGGGACTCTGTGAGGAGTTCTGCAGGACTTGTGTCTTCCTGTTGGTAGCGAATGGGAAGTTCATTGTTGGAAATTCTGCTACAAGACAAAATGGCAGCAGGATTCTTTCTTTAAAAACACATAAAGTGTGTTTCTTGTTGGGAACTAATCTGGCACTGAGTGAAGGAAGGCCTGATTTTGTGTGTGTTAAGGAAGAAAAGAAAACCCTGTTACGTGTAGGCCCGAGCCCTGAGGAACTGCAGGTGACGATTAGGGCGTAATTGGATGAAACAGTCAATCTTTGACTGGATCCCTTCTTACAATATTTGAAAAGAACAAAAAGGTTTGGTGGGTGGGAGCAAGGGGGAAAGGAATTTAGACCAGCTCCACAGTGCCACAGGAAGTGTGTTTAAATGATTTTGCCTGTGCTGTTTTTCTGATTTGATTTCTTCTCCGCACCCTTTCCCAAAGATTGTAGGTTGCGAATCTCCAACTGTGACATCTTAGATATATTTAAAGCTCCTCTTGACACCCTGTGATGACATGGTGGTGGTTACAGGAGAAGCTGTTTTTAGCACAATAGCAGCCCGTAGTGACAGAGCACAAGTATTGCAACACCAAGGAAAGTGCGGAGGGAAACCATGGTTTGCCTTGTCCTGAGTCCAGGCTCCTTTTTTAAGAAAACAAGAGCCCACAGGTATCAAGCTATAGAAATATAAGTGTACACCATTGTTGGATAAGCAAGCCCAGCCTTTCTTCTCTAGCTGTGTCCAGAACGTGTGCAAGCTTTGGGGGTGCCTTGGAACAGCGGCGTCACGAAGTCTGCTTCCCATAGAGCCCTGGGAAATCCTCTGTCCTCTAATTCTCTTGCAGGCTCTGGCTGGGCAAGGCATCGACCGCCATTTGCTGGGAATGAAGCTGGAGGCCATTGCCGATGGCTTCCGGGTGCCAGAGCTTTTCATGGACACTTCCTACGCTGTGGCGTCTCACTGGAAACTCTCCACGGGACAGGTAGAGCCTGCTAGGCCTCCACATTCCTGTGTAGCTGAAGCTCAGAGTCCTTTACGTCTTCCGTTCATCCTCCTGAGAGCCATTGTGGTGTAGTGGTTAAGCGCGATAGACTCGTAATCTGGTGAATCGGGTTTGCTTCCCCGCTCCTCCACATGCAGCTGCTGGGTGACCTTGGGCCAGTCCCACTTCTCTGAAGTCTCTCAGCCCCACTCACCTCACAGAGTGCTTGTTGTGGGGGAGGAAGGGAAAGGAGATTGTTAGCCGCTTTGAGACTCCTTCGGGTAGTGATAAAGCGGGATATCAAATCCAAACTCTTCTTCTTCTTCGTCTTCTTTGAGTCCCTAATTATATGTCCCAATGACATTTATTTATAAAAATACTTATGTATAGCAATTTCCTTTTTTAAAAAAAATAAGTGGTATATATTCACCATTGGTCAACAGTCCAGTGGTTCCCATCATCCCTGACCACCGATCTTGCTAGCTAGGGATGATGGGAGTTGTAGTCCAAAACCAGCTGGAGGCTCAAGTTTGGGAAACACTGGTCTACACTGACTGGCAGCGGCCCTCCAAGGTTTCAAAGTGGCCTCTGTTCCAACCCTACCCAGAGAGGCTAAGGATTCAACCTGGGACCTTTTGCATGAAAAATATGTGTCGTACCACGGAGCCGTGGCCCTTGTGTGGTGACTTTTCAAGCGTCTCCTCACACGTGAACCTCCTTGGTTGCCAAGGCCTTCTGGAGAAATTCTGCTCTGGGTTGCATTCTTAGAATCTGTGGGTGTGCAGAGCAGGGCCTCGTCAGTGATGGCACCATGATTGTGGGATGCTCTTCCCAGGAGGCCTGACAAGCAACATCCCTTAAAAAACACCCCACCCCAGTCCTTATTACAATTTAGTCATACCTTTTCCTTATGGAGCTCGAGGTTCTCTTTCTTTCCTCCTCTTACTCTAACCAATATTGTGAAGAAGGTCCAGTTGAGAGGAAGTGGTCAAACATCACCTAGTTAGCTTCATGGCTGAGTGAGAATTTGAATCTGGTGCTCCTCCGACACAAGACTTTTCCTGCCCCAAGTGGAAAAAACATGCTTGTTCCACCAGACAGACTTATGAATCACTGTGTTGCTTCTGAGGCTGGTGCTTACTGGTGAAGACCTTTTTTTGTTTTACTTCCTTTGTGGTTTGTGGAATATTGTTGTTTATGTCATTCCTCGGTCCAGTATACCTGAAGGAGCGTCTCCACCCCCATCGTTCTGCCCGGACACTGAGGTCCAGTGCCGAGGGCCTCCTGGCGGTTCCCTCACTGAGAGAAGCCAAGTTACAAGGAACCAGGCAGAGGGCCTTCTCGGTAGTGGCACCCGCCCTGTGGAACACCCTCCCACCAGATGTCAAAGAGATAAACAATTACCAGACTTTTAGAAGACATCTGAAGGCAGCCCTGTTTAGGGAAACTTTTAATGTTGAATAGGTTATTGTATTTTATTGTTCTGTTGGAAGCCGCCCAGAGTGGCTGGGGAAACCCAGCCAGATGGGTGGGGTATAAATAATAAATTATTATTATTACTGTTGTCAGAGGCTGCCTCAGGTCTCAGCTCACAAAAGACCAACGCCAAGCTCTTCTTATATACAAGGATGTTTATTGCAGTTCATTATTGGTTCCACAACCGAGGCGTGCAGCCCCGCGTCTTTTAGCCTAGACGTTTGAAGTCCCCTCTGAGTCGGTCCCGCCTCTACACCAGCTTAAGAGGCTTGTGCTAGACCACCTCTTCCTGTCTTTCCTTTTCCGCAGGGTCTTCCTGCCCCCCTGGGTTCCTTCCCTCCTGCTGTCTCCTGAAGCGGATTCCTCAGATGCCTGTTCCCCCCTCCTTCGTGCTTTGGGGCTAGGCTCCTCCTCCGGGCTTCCTCCATTTCCGCGCGCCTCCACATTTGAACTTGGCGCGCGTTCGCTACCCCTGACCTTCCTCTTGACACTTACACTACTCCCTGTACTACTCTCCGCCTCTTCCGGCAGGACGTCCTGCCCCGATCTCCTTCCCCTGTCTCTTTCCTGCTCCGCTCCGTGTGCCACACTGGGAACTCCCCTCTCTTCACTTCGTTCCTGCTGGGAAGCCGGCCCCGATCTCCCACTCCCACTCGGGGTTTCCCTGCTGCTTCCCTGCTCCTGGCAGGTCCCCCCTGTGACCCCCCTTGTCCTGACTAGGGGCGCCCCCTCCTGGGAATCCTCCGATTCACTTGAGAGACTCATGGAAGACCTCAAGTCATTGTCATCCTCTTCCTCACTGTCCTGGGATTCTTCCTCATCGCTCTCCGTCTCCCCCCTCACCTGTGCCTCTGTCTCTGAACCCCTGACAACTGTTATTACTATTATTATCTTAATGTGGAAAAACAGCCAATACTTTAAAGAGAAAGAAGTAACAAGGGATGGTGATGATCTGCTGATCACATTTTATTTTTTCTCCCTCAGGTAGCTGCCCGCACGGATTGTGTGATGTGCTACGGGCCACTGGTCCCCGACGGCTATGCTGTCTGCTACAACCCTCTGCCTACCCATGTTAACTTTGCTGTTACTGCCTTCAATTGTTGCCAGGAGACCAATGCTGAGCATCTGGCTGGTAGCATCCAGAAGGCCCTGGATGATGTGGGAGCTTTGCTGGGGAACTGGGGAGTTGGGAGCGATCAAAGGCAACCTTGAGAAGTCACTCCATACCTCAACGCTTCCTCACCTTGGACCCGAGAGAAGATCCTCTCAGCCTCAGGCCAACGCTTACCACCCATAATTCCAAACGCCTCAGGCCAAAAATCTCTGCTCTACCACCCCTTTGTGCCAAAGTTTGTTATCCTCTAGCCTTTCCTTATCCAGAATTCCCTTTGTATCACTCCAGAGGGGGGAAAACAGCTTTCTTTTTTTCTACACAGTCTTAATTCGAAGCCAAATCTAATTTATTTCCACGTGGAATAATGAAATAAATGGTTCTTTCAGGAAAATGCTTGTCTTTCATGTTTGGGGAGGAATGAAAAAGAACATGGCGGACACACATGCATGGTGCGGTTCGGCGGAGTTGAAGAAACAGATCTGTAGGCTCACAGGGCAAGTCCCTCCTCTCTGGGCCCATTTTCCTATCCCTGTAACGGGATCCATTTCTCAAGGGAAAAGTGTCTCCTCAAAGGATGCTTATTGCCACGCAAGTCATCTGAACACATTTTGCATCTCCGTCTTCTCGAAATCTAACGGAGCATGTTGTGGTTTCTGCAGCTGCCGTGCTGACAGTAATTCTTCACAGCTTCTCAACGGGCAGTTTTCTTCAAGCCAGTTCTTGTGCCACCTCTCTCTTTAGCAAGAGTTAACCAGCAAGTTTCACAAAGGTGTTGCAACTCTTGAGCAACCCCCAATTCCTCTCCTCCGAGCTCAAATTTCTAGAGTGGTTTAATACACAAGTCTCTCTTTATAGTGAATTCTGGGAATTGTATCTGCGGGAGGGCAATGGGGGGGTCTCCTAATCATTTTCAGCACCCTTCGCAAACCCAAGGATGTTTAATGTGCTATGGCTCTTTTAAAAAGGGATAGTGCAGATGTGGCCTAAGTGGATTACAGTGGTACCTCAGGTTACAGACGCTTCGGGTTACAAACTCCGCTAACCAGGAAGTGGTTGCTCCAGGTTAAGAACTTTGTCCCAGGATAAGAACGAAAATCGCACACCAGTGGGAGGCGGCCCCATTAGCGAAAGCATGCCTCAGGTTAAGAACAGTTTCAGCTTAAGAACGGACCTCTGGAACAAATTAAGTACTTAACCCGAGGTACCACTCTATAGGATTACAGGGACGCGGGTGGTGCTGTGGTCTAAATCACTGAGCCTCTTGGGCTTGCTGATCAGGTCGGCGGTTCGAATCCCCATGACTGAGCGAGCTCCCGTTGCTCTGTCCTAGCTCCTGCCAACCTAGCAGTTCGAAAGCACGCCAGTGGCAGGAAGGTGAATGGCATTTCCGTGCACTCTGGTTTCCCGTTGCACCAGAAGCAGTCTAGTCATGCTGCCACATGACCCAAAATGCTGTCTGTGGACTAACGCCGGTTCCCTCGGCCTGAAAGCAAGATGAGTGCCATAGCCTGAGTCGCCTTTGACTGGAATTAACCATCCAAGGGTCCTTTACCTTTTTCTTTCTTTACCTTATAGGATTATACTTTAATCTTGATTAGGAATGGGGACAAACATGGCCCACATATTCTGCTTGTAGCCGTTTTGCTGTCTTACTGCAACTTCACACATCACAGCAAAAGGCAGATTTCTGTGTCTCCAAAGCAAGTCAAAAATACCTATTATAAACTTTTTTTTGCACGTTTCAATAGCTTCTCCCCACCTTTATTTTTAATTGTTCTTAACACGATGTAAGGCATGGCGCATATTCTGTGGTGAGGATGCACTCATCCAGGGATGAACATGCATGGGTAAAAACAGATCAGTGTACAGTGATCAAGTTTTATTTATTTGTTTATTTCCTGCCTTTTCACCTGATGGGACACAAGTGTGGAGCAGCCCACAGTCGTCCTTCAAATGTTACAAGCCATGCATAGTCGGCCTGCAATAAAAATGCAAAAATCTGCCATTGTTGTAACATATGAAGCACTGCAATGAAAGAATTTCAAGGGGATTGGTGACATCTTCCTTCAAAATTATAGGGCTTTGTATGCCAGCTTCAATGTTTCCTTCATTTGGTTTTTATTTTCAGTATAAACACGACTGTTTTCGTACCCAATCGCGCGTTCTCTCTCTCTCTCTCTCTCTCTCTCTCTCTCACACACACACACACACACACCACTTTTAATTCTTCTCTAAGAGGTGGAGGAAAGGAAAACCAGGACATTCTGGGATCAAATTAGAAACCAAGATGGCTTCTGTAATTCCAGGACTGTCCCTGGAAAACCGGGAGACTTTTGAGGATATGCAATCCACAAGGGAGCGATGCGGGTGGCGCTGTGGGTTAAACCACAGAGCCTAGGACTTGCCGATCAGAAGGTCGGCGGTTCGAATCCCCGCGACAGGGTGAGCTCCTGTTGCTCGGTCCCTGCTCCTGCCACCCTAGCAGTTCGAAAGCACGTCAAAGTGCAAGTAGATAAAGAGGTACTGCTCTGGCAGGAAGGTAAACGGCGTTTCCGTGCACTGCTCTGGTTCGCCAGAAGCGGCTTAGTCATGCTGGCCACATGACCCGGAAGCTGTAGGCCGGCTCCCTCTGCCAATAAAGCGAGATGAGCACCGCAACCCCAGAGTCGGCCACGACTGGACCTAATGGTCAGGGGTGCCTTTACCTTTAATCCACAAGGGAGGAAGCAGCAACAGGTCTCCGCAGTTCTGACAAAGACACAAAAGACAACCTTGAAGGAGTTCATGTTCATTTATTTTTCACAGGTATTTCTCCATTTCATTTGTAGGAAAAACAAATTGAGGAAAGCTGCTGAAAGAGGTTTGAGGCAGTGGCACTTTGTGGAGCTGCTGCGTGTGGGAAGAGGAAGGAGAGGGGTTTGCGGGGGGGGGCGTGAGCCCCAGAACTCTTTTCTTTCTTGGCATCCTCTGCCCACCCCTTTAGCAGCCCCCAAACAGGAAGCGGCCCAGGAAGAAATGGGGACGGGGCAGGTCTTCAAGGCCCCCCGAAGCAGCTAAAGAGGTTGCGTTGCTCAATATACACAACAGACATCATCATATTACAAAAACACCTCACTCAATTAAAAAAAGGGAGGAAGAACGTGGATGTTTCCATGCGGAGAGGCCTTCTCTATGAGCACTTCGCAGATTCCTTCTCCTGTTGGATGGCTGAAAGAGAAGGAGGAACTATTAGGGCTCTGGCAAGTGTTAAACATTACCCAGGCGTGTTTTGCGACTGGAATGGGTCCAATTGCGACCACATGGAAATCCCTTAAGAGGCTGTGAGCTTCATGACTGAGTGGGGACTTGAACCCTGATCTCCCCCTCTGTAACCACTCCACCACACTGGCTTCCTAGAGTACTTCTGCTATGGGGCAGCTTTGTAAATTAAGTAGGTAAATAAATATGGTTCGGCGATTTTTTTCTTTAAATTATAAAGCAGTACGGAAGTGAAATGAATAATAATAATGAAACTCCTATAGGCAGGGAAAATGGCACCTAGACATTGGGGCGACCGTAAACTAGATCATTAACCTTGATAATAATTTTTATTAGTTTTCAATTACAACAATCCAATAATAGCCTCATTATAACAATGCGAAATTATAATACAATTAATAATACTAATCACTGTGATGCTAAATTATACAATTTAGGTACCTCCCTCACATGCTAGTATTAATGGCTTGATGATTTTGTTTCTGCATTCCAAAATCTTACTAATTTCAATTATGCTCCAGTCCAAATACCAATCCCTTATATCGCAACTGCAGTTTATATACCTGTGTTTCAAACATATGAATGGATTGCTTGTAGATGTAGACTTTGGATGAATATATTGACATTTGGTACGAGCTTATACAGCATATAATATGTTACTAATAATCATGTACGTATTAGGACATTATTATATAATAATGTATTGAAATGTAACCGATTCTACACATTGGATTATACCATGGGTAGGCAAACTAAGGCCCGGGGGCCGGATCTGGCCCAACTGCCTTCTAAATCTGGCCTGCGGACAGTCCGAGAATCAGCGTATTTTTACATGAGTAGAATGTGCCCTTTTATTTGGGTTATTTGTGGGCCGTGCCTGGCGTTTTTACATAAGTAGAATGTGCGCTATTATTTAAAATGCATCTCTGAGTTATTTGTGGGGCATAGGAATTCGTTCATTTTTTTTTTTCAAAATACAGTATAGTCCGGCCCCCCACAAGGTCTGAGGGACAGTGGACCGGCCCCCTGCTGAAAAAGGCTGCTGACCCCTGGATTATACTCTACCTTTCTTCTTGCATTGTTTGTACTCTTCCCCCCCCCCAATTTTCTTTCATCACTTATTTCGAATACCTGAAATTCTTTTTTAAAAATACTACTACTAATAAAAAGTGGGTCTTTGGGGGCATAGAGGCCTGACTCAGCCAGCCAGCCGAGTGCAAAAACTCTTTTTCAGGTGGGGCCCTGAGATGCCCAGGCATGCTCAGCTCCTCCTCAGCAGCCAGATTCCTGTCGGATGATGTCGACAGAAAGCAGCAGCAGCAGCAGCCCCTCTGCTGCCACAGGATACTCCTCCTTCCTTACCAGGAACCAGAAGTAGGGGAAAGAGGAATCCAGTTTTATCCGGAGCGCCAATCCCAGGGGTGGGGCCGCTGAAGGCAGAACAAGCCCGGCCAGGGGTCAGGCCGTCAAGGCACTTCTGTGGGACTCCCAAGCAGCGCCAGTCTGCCCTGGGCTTTCCCAGCAGCACCAGACTCTGGTCAGACCCTGTTCAGTATTGCCTACACTCTCTGTGGTTTCAGGCAGGGACCTCTCTTGCCCACCCCCCGGAGATGCCAGTGAGCTGGGCGAGCTGCGTGGGCCCTTGCTTGAAGCTGCAACCAGCTGCCCCGCCAAGCCGTCGTGGGTCAAGTTTGCCCTTCCCCAAGTTGCAAAGCTTCCGTCTGCAAACTGATTGTTAAGTTTCTTTTTTCCTCGCGGCTGGAGGGAAACCAGAGTCCCAGTTACGCCCGCAGGGAAGGCTCCGTCCCAGGAAACACTTACTCTCCTGCGAAGGAAGTGTGTTCTTCTCCTCCGTGTTGGTTTTCTTGAGCTTCTTCTTATCAAACTTCTCCACTTCGGAGAGATCGGGTTTGTCACACATCTTGGCCACAGGGAAGCGATACGACAACTTGAGATACTGCAAGAAAGCACAGACACTTCCGTTAAGGGTGGGGTGGGCAGGAGAGGCAGCACCCAAACAGCAGAGAGAAAGGCGCCCCCCCCACACACACACTTAGAAACTAGGCTTTATTTCACCCGGGTCAAAGGCGTGGGCAGGGGTAGGCAAACTAAGGCCCGGGGGCCAGATCCGGGCCAATCGCCTTCTAAATCTGGCCCGCGAGCTGTCTGGGAATCAGTGTGTTTTTACATGAGTAGAATGTGCCCTTTTATTTAAAATGCATCTCTGGGTTATTTGTGGGGCCTGCCTGGTGTTTTACATGAGTAGAAGGTGTGCTTTTACCATACTTTTTGCTCTATAAGACTCACTTTTTCCCTCCTAAAAAGTAAGGGGAAATGTGTGTGCGTCTTATGGAGCGAATGCAGGCTGCGCAGCTATCCCAGAAGCCAGAACAGCATGAAGGATCGCTGCTTTCGCTGCACAGCGATCCCTCTTGTTGTTCTGGCTTTTGAGATTCAGAATATATTTTTTCTTGTTTTCCTCCTCCAAAAACTAGGTGCGTCTTATGGTCTGGTGCATCTTATAGAGCGAAAAATGCTGTATTTGAAATGCATCTCTGGGTTATTTGTGGGGCATAGGAATTCGTTCATTTTTTTCTTTTCCTTTTCAAAATCTAGTCTGGCCCCCCACAAGGTCTGAGGGACAGTGGACCGGCCCCCTGCCGAAAAAGTTTGCTGACCCCTGGGCTTGGCACCCCCCCCCCTTTTAGATAAGACATGCACAAGTGCATGCAAACACCCGGCACATTTGTTCTTAAATGGCATAAAACGTCCAACATTATTTGAAATAATAGAATTGTAAAGTTGGAAGAGACCCCTAGAGTCCAATTCCTCGCAGGGCACAAATCTCAACTAGATCGTACAGACGACCATCTAACCTCTGCTTAAAAACCTCCAAGGAGGCAGCGCCCAAGGGAGTCGGTTCCACTGTCAAGCAGTTCTCACAGTCAGAAAGTTCTTCCTGATGTTTAAAAATCTCCTTTCATGGAGCCTGGAGACACTGCTTCAAGTCCTACCTTCCAGAGCAGGAGAAAACAAGCCTGTTCCCTCTTCCACACCACAGCCCTTAAGGTATTTGAAGATGGGTGTCCGATCTCCTCTCAATCTCCCCTTCTTCCCCCAGGCAAAACATAAACTGCTCCTTCAACTGTTCCTCACTTGATCATCTTGGTTGCCCTCCTCTGCACATGTTCCAGCTTGTCAACATCCTTTTTAAACTGTGGCGCCCAGAACTGGACACAATATTCCAGGTGTGGCCTGACCAAGGCAGAATAGAGCGGCACTATTACTTCCCTTGATCTGGAAATTATACTTCTGTTGATGCAGCCTGCATTCACTTTTTTTGCTGCTGCATCACACTGCTGACACATATTAAGCTTGTGGTCCACTAAAACCCTAGATCCTTTTCATGCGTGCTGTAAGGTGTGTGTCCCCCATCTTGTATTGGCGCAGCTGGTTTTTTGCCAGCCACAGTGTGAGGCGGGGAGGCTGCAGCTGGTCCACAAAGCCCCTATATTGAATAGCCTTGTGCCCTTGTCACTCCTGGCTGCACGAAATGTTTTTTATTTCCTGTTTTTCATTCAAAGGAATCCCAAAGTGGCTTACAAATAACCACCATGATAAAACGCAATAGAACGTATGTGATGAACAAATTGATACAGCGTTTATAATCTATAAAGCAATGTTAGAATTAATTAAGGCTAAGTACTGTTAAGTCAATACACACACTCTCCTGTGCCCCTGTGACTCATATTTCGTTCTATTGAGCTCGATAAAATACACATAAACTCAATGCCCTGCCAAGGTAGCAACTCCCTTTTGAAGGAGGGGCAGCGCAGGTGAAATCAAACACCCTCAAAGGCAAACAGAGTCTCTCTCCCCCCTCAGTTTTTTTCCACTGGAAACGGCTCTCTTTTTCCTGCTCTGGAGGGCAGGACTCGAACCAAGGGCTTCAAGTGACAAGAAAGGACATCAGAACTTTCTGACAGTAAGAGCTGTTTGCTAGTGGAACAGACTCTCTGGGAGGGTGTAGACCTCTCCTAGGAGGTTTTAAAGCAGAGTTGCGTGGCCACCTGTCATGGATGCTTCAGTTGAGATACCTGCATTGGGGGGGGGTTGGACTAGATGACCCCTGGGTCCCTTCCAACCCTATGATTCTGTGAAGGCTCCTAGATCTGGAGGGTGGGGCAAGGCAGGTGGAAAAAGCCATTATGTACTGTGCAACACAATATCTCTCCCTTCACTATTGACATAAGTTAAGTCATCATACTATTACAAGCGTTATCAGGCTGGAAGCAACATACTGGAGAGATTTTTTTAAAAGAAAACCTATTGTTCAAGGTGCATGATGTTCGAAAGTTCTGCACTGTTCCTCCTCCCCCCGGCTGCTCCCGTTGCCCGATGGCTGAAGCGAGTCAGTCTGCTCGTCTGAACACGAGCTCGGGTTTCTCTCCCTCCAAACAGCAGCACAAGTGCTCGATGGCCCCCAAACCATCGTTTACCGCGAGGTGATCCCAACCCAAACTGCAAAACAGGCATGCACCGAATGCACCATGCACCGAATTCGCCGGACACACCCACAGGATCCTGCACCTCGCAGGAGCAAGGGAAACGCTTAATCCCCCGTGCATCCAGGTCAACGTCGGGCAAGCATTTCGGAAGCATGTGCACGCCGCCCCCCTCCCTCGCCATAACGCGCCCGCCCCAAGGGATCCCACCCAGCGCCGCGCCCAGGGAGATCAAAGCAAGCAGGCCCCCTCCCCGGGCTTTGCAACCCCCCCGCCACGCGCCCCTGGACGGCACAGCCCAACAGCCCCGGACACAAAGCTCCGGCCACCGCCCCTCTTTCTCTCCGCTACCTTCAACTGTCTGCAGCCCTCGAACTGATCCGCACCGCGCTCTCCGAAGGCAACGTGTCCGGGGCGGCCTTTTATAGCTGGCGTCGAGCCGCGCGGCACGCCGGGAAGTGTAGTCCCCGAGCCTGGCTGGGCTGCGGCGGCCGCGGCGGAGAAAACTACGCGCCCCAGGGCTGGACGGGGCGGGCCCGCCTTCCCCGCCCGCTCCTCGGGAGGGCATGCCCGAGCTGGCAGAAGCAGCACGTGGCCGCCGGGGGGCCGATAAGGCAGGTGGGGTTTTTCTGAATGCCCAACCCTAGTGTTGAAAGGGGACACCAGGAGGCATCTAGTCCAACCCCCCCAGCAAGGCAGGAATTTCAAAGCATCCAATGAGAAACCTTCCCTCGGAAGTCTTTGCCCTTCCAGTCCCTGCCAGCCCACTCTAGGTCCAGTAGCGAGGATGTGGCGCCCCTCTGTCGCCCCCCCCCCCCAATGTGCCAGCAGGAAATCACCCCGACGGCTCGATGCGCGCTGTCGTGCATGGTGCCCCCGGGCAACGGAATATTGACAACGCCTCTCCCGCCCGGGAAAGTCGTCTTTGCCCAGACACGGGAACTGTTCCAGGCAGCCCCCGATGCGTGTCCTCTGACTGATCCCTCTCCGCCGCCAAATGGATTGTCATCTGATGGAAATGACAGCACGGCTGAGCTTTCCCGTAACCTTGCTTGGTTCCTCGACCCTGCCACACTTACTCGAAAGTAAGCCCCAAGTGACCACGGAGTAAACAGGACATGTTTGTCCGTGCTGTTAGCGCCCCACCTGCATTGATTCGTTGTTGCAGTAATTCTTACAACAGCCTTGCGAGGCCGGCCTGTCTCGATGGCTGGTGTTCTTCCTAGCAACACCTGTCAGATGTCTGCTTGGCCCCCAGCCAACGGATTGATTAATTTTTAGGGCGGGATAGATGGGTGAGTTTTGAAATTGTGGCAAGGGGCCCATTTCTAACTGCCAGGTACAATGGTACCTCGGGTTACAGACGCTTTAGGTTACATACGCTTCAGGTTACAGACTCCGCTAACTCAGAAATATTACCTCGGGTTAAGAACTTTGCTTCAGGATGAGAACAGAAATCGTGCTCTGGCGGCACGGTGGCAGCAGGAGGCCTCATTAGCTAAAGTGGTGCTTCAGGTTAGAGTTTCAGGTTAAGAACGGACCTTCGGAACGAATTAAGTACTTAACCCAAGGTAAAAAGGTAAACTGTATTAATTGCGTGCTTTTGCAACTGCTGCTTTGAGCGCCAACCAGTGGCAGAATGTGGGAGCTCCGAAGCGAGGACTTCGATTATTTTCCATATCAGCATACAGTAATGATTTCACATTTTGAATTTAATTTATTTACAGGTATAACTAAATAAAATAATAATGACTAGTCATGACCAGCTTCAGGTAATTATTCGAAGAGTTCTTTCTACTGAATCAGTTTAATTCATGCCATTAGTCAGTACAGAGATACAGCTCACTTAAAAAAGCAAAGTTTACTGCATTACACATAACGATTTGTGTCTGTATACTGTAATACTGAATACCTAGGTATGCATGTGGGTGCATATATCGGCAGCAATAAGTACAGGCCCACTTCATCAGAAGAGTCAGAGGTAAGTTTGGCTTATCAAAGTCCTCAGTGTGCAAATTAATTCAACCATTGCATTGTTTGTTCCTTGCTGCCTCCGTTTGTTAACAGTGGAAGCCCCCTTGTGTTTACTCAGAAGAAAGTGGCAGTGTGTTCAAAGGGACTTCCCCTTATGCTTGTTTCACAATGCAGCTTAAATTAATTAATACCCGCATGCGGCAAGTTTTTCCCCCCAGCTGGAGCTCACCTGGCACCTCTCAGGTGGGTTCAGGCACTTCTCAGGTGGGCACCATTCCCATTCTAAGAGAATGAGGGAGGCATTCATGGTGAGTTGCGGCACCTCTTTTTCTAGAAAACCAGCACTGCCCGCATATAGTACGAAAAGGAAGAACCTGAGGTGTGGACCTCCAGTTTTGGTCCTGCTCAGCCCCAGGCAAGCGCCTGTTCCTCAGAGGCAGGTCCCCATCTCAATGGGAACCACTTCTGATGGTGCTGAGGACTGCAGTCAGAGGCACAGACTGGATCGAGGAGAAGGCCTTGGGTGGCAAGATCAGCAGGTGTTTCTCCATCAGCTTCAGGTTTCTGCAGAGGATTCTGCGATCTGTATTTTCCATCTGCTGTTTTGCTCTAGAACTGGGTCTCTTCCCCACCTCACCCCAAGATTAAACATTGTCCTTGTTATGTACTGAAGTTATCACCCTGGGCCAGCAGGGGGATACTGTAGATAGTTCAGGTCCACATATGCAAATAAGGGATCGAAAGTGACGTTCAGTGATTGGATAGTTACAGAAAGTTGTTACAGTTACGTTGTACTGGAGCTCTATATAAGCAGGCTGGCCGAACCCTTCAGTTCAGTTCTGTTCCAGCTTACAAATAAAGAGCTGTTTGGAGAATCGCTGCGTCGTCTGCTATGTCTACCCACAACTTAACAGTCTTCCGTGCTGTTTTCCTCTCCCTGCCTCCCCTACGGGGACCTTTCCTCTCTGGCCTGGCCCAGAATAATGTCCCCCGCTCTGGGAAGGCCTTAACGGGATGGGATAGGGGCTCCTAGCCCCTGATGTCCACAAGCAAGTCATAGATGGCTGTGGTGAGGCCCCATGTGACTCCGGCCCGGAGGATGAGCAGGGACCCTCCTCTGTAAAGGAGTGTGGCTTTCCTGCCCCGAGCCCTCCAGACGGCTGCAGCCGCCGCCGGGAGTTTGAGGGTTTCCTCCTTCCCCACCTGAGACTGCACGTTGGCGATGAGGACGCCAAGAGGGAAGAGGAGGAAGGAGATGGCGGTTCCGTTCACGCTGCCCGACACCAGGGCGGGGAGCCAGCGGGGCAAGGCCCTGTCAGACAGGCCATCACGGAGGGGGTCCTTGAAGGAGAAGTAGAGGGCACAGCCCAGGCCATTGCGGGTCAGGATGAGGCTGAGGCCTCGGTAGTAGCCCAGGGCCAGCCTCTCCTTGGGGGCGTAGGAGTTGAATTCCTCCAGGATGCTCCAGGTTGTGGGGAATCTCCTCACGGTCCGCCCGTCCTGGAGAACGTTCTGGACCCTCTCGAAGGGGCCAAAGGCCAGCGCTTCCAGGAAGCCCGAAAGGAGGCCTGCGAAGGCTCGGTCTCTCAGCGAGTAAGGCCCGGGAGACCTGTCTGAGAAGGCCCGAAGGAGGTTGTCGTGGGTGCCGTACATCAAGGCCCCCTGCAGTGTCCTGGCCAGGAGCGGAGGAGCAATGCCTCGTGCGAAGCCGGCAAGGCCCTCCTGGCGCAGCTGACCGATGGCCTCCGTGATGGACAAGGCGTGGAGCTGCTGGCGGAAAATGGTCTTGTAGACGGGGAAGGTCACCAGCGTGGTGGCGAAGCTGGAAGCAGCTCCCACAGCACAGCTGGCGGAGCTCCATCTTTTGTGGTGATTCTCCTCCATCTTCCTGGAGTTCCTGCTGGGAGTCTTCCTCTTTTGGACTGCAAGATTTGGAAGAGAGAAATAATAACAACAATAATTTTAGTATTTGTACCCCACCCATCTGACTGGGTTGCCTCAGCCACTTGGGCAGCTTCCAGCATATTTAAAAACATAATAAAACATTACAAACTTCCCTATATAGGGTGGCCTTCAGGTGTCTTCGAAAGGTTTTATACAGTGGTACCTCTGGATGTGAACGGGATCCGTTCCGGAGCCCCGTTCGCATCCTGAAGCGAACGCAAACCGCGTCTGCAATTCGCCGCTTCTGCGCATGCGCATGATGCCATTTTGAGCGTCTGCGCGTGCGAGCGGCGAAACCTGGAAGTAATGCATTCCGTTACTTCCGGGTTGCCGTGGAGCGCAACCCGAAAACGCTCAACCTGAAGCAACTTCAACCTGAGAAATGACTGTCGTTGCTTATCTCCTTGACATCTGATGGGAGGGTGTTCCTCAGGGTGGGTGCCACTACCGAGAAGCCCCTTAACTCCCTGCGCATGCAGAAGCTTAGTGTTAGTGTAATCTAAAAGCAGACTTGAAATGATCCTTGCATAGTTTTGCCCCTAGCAACAAGTTTCTCCCTGCAAAAGGTCTTCCCCAGCAACAGGGTTTCCTTAGCAATAGACTTCTTTATTAGACATGCTCTGGAGGAGAGACCTGTAGCTGTTACCTTGGCCGGATGGCTAGAGAGCACAGATGAGGAATGATTCTCTGTATATAGTTTCGATTTATTTTCCTCAGGCCAATAGTTGCATAAGTTGTAATGTTAATTCTTCAAGAAATATTTGAAGCAGAACTGGCATGGGCAAGGGGTTCATTCCCACATGGGAATTCACCAACAGATGAGCTGAACCGAGGAAGAAGATTCTGGGAGACTTTCTGAGTGACTCTGCTGACTCAGAAGGAACGCCAAATGGCACAATTTGCAATGCCACATGGTTCAGTCCCCTGTGGCATCACTAGGCAGGGCTGGGAAAGGGAAAGGACCCCTGGATGGTTAAGTCCAGTCAAAGGCGACTATGGGGTTGCGGTGCTCATCTCGCTTTCAGGCCGAGGGGGCCGGCATTTGTCCACAGACAGCTTTCCAGGTCATGTGGCCAGCAGGACTAAAGTGCTTCTGGTGCAACAGAACACCATGATGGAAGCCAGAGTACACGGAAACACCGTTTATCTTCCCGCCACAGTGGTACCTATTTATCTACTTGCGCTGGTGTGCTTTCGAACTGCTAGGTTGGCAGAAGTTGGGACAGAGCAACGGGAGCTCACCCTGTAGTGGGGATTCAAACTGCTGACCTGATCGACAAGCCCAAGAGGCTCAGTGGTTTAGACTTCAGCACCACCAGCGTCCCAGCTGGGAAAGACACCCCCCTCCCACGCATGAGACCCTGGAGATAAATTGCTGCCAGTCAGTGTAGGCAATATTGGGGTAGGTGGGCCAACACCCTGACTGGGCAAGACGGAGTCCTAGGTTCCTATGAAGAGATACAGAGACTTATATGACTAACATGAGGGGTCTGTCACCCAGAGGCATAGCTGGGGAGGGCAAGCGGCCCCCTTAAATGAAGTAAAGCAATTAAAAATACTTAACTAAAAGTAGAAATTGTAGAAAGATTCTGACAGATTTTTCTCAGCATGTGGGGTCAAAAGAAAATAATTTAAAACATCTCTTGTTGAGACATATCATTCCGATTCTGCTAGACAGAGCCAGACCGAAGATGTGTGCCCTGCCTTTTCCTAACATAAATACTGGCTATGCCCCTTCATAAGAAGCGGGGTTGGGAGAGAGGAGGGAAGCAAAGGCTCTGTTGTGGCCTGGAGCTTTTATCCTCCTCAGATCTGCAGTAATGTTGCAGGAGGGCTCACTTTCTTCTCGGAAAGGTGATGCTAAGGGGTTTCTGGCCGGAGAGCAGAAGGCTGCACTAGGTGAGCCACTGGCCTGATCCAGCCTTAGATCTCTTCTTCAGATCTGCTCTACCATCTCATTTGGCTGCATGCGTAGATCAGGCCTCACATGAATCGACTGCAGCGCTGGGAGAGCTTCCTGCAAAATGGGGTGGGGTTGCATTTGCTGAGTCTCGCTGTTCATTAGGAGGTCCCATCGCAGAGGGCAGGCAGATCCCACCACCACCACCCTCCACCCCCCAATCCTCTGGCCAGCAGCCTCTGAAAGCCCCACATTTTGGCAGAGGGTGATGCATCAGCCACCGGCCTTGGCTCGGGTACCTGAACAAATCTTCTCCTTCCTAAAGGCCCCAAGTGATGCTCAGAGGTGCAGTTCTTCCTTGCAGCGCTCCAAAGAAACAGCAGTCACAGGCCAGGAGATCTGTCCCCGTGCCATCCTCCTCCCTTAACTCTCTCGCTCACTTACTCTATTCTTCCAGGTGCCAGAGGGGGGGTTGCAGAGAGAGAGAGACGCCTCCCACTTCCTTTCTCACAAGAAGCTGCTGCTGCTGCTGTCTGCGCGGTCCATGGACTTCCGGCAGCCAAAGATGCAGTCGCTGCATCCTTTGGCGTCAGGAGAGCCCAACCCCGTCTTGCAACGGAGCGCCGCAGCTTTGCAGAAAATTAAGAAGCTTTGCAGAAAATTAAACAAAAGGCTCCCCCTCCACTCCCCCCATACCCTGCGAGACAACGCAGAAAGTAGCTACTAGCTCCCACGTGCTCCTTTGAATGATATTTTGAAACGCAGAACTGTCAGCGAAGCATTAAGCAAAAAGCACAGCACCACGCGCTCTCCATCAGGAGCCGCAATAATTTCCTCCAATCAATACCTGGATTGCTTTGGATGAGATTCCTGCACGCCACAGGGTTGGACTAGATGAGCCTTGGAGATCCCTTCCAACGCTACAATTCTATGATTTTTTTGTGGGGTACCCACCCCATTTCCTTATTTGTTATTTTATTCTAGGGCCACTGTGTCTCTGTGAGTGTTGTACAAAACCACTCTTGATTGGGGCAGGGGGCGGGAATCGCTGTGGAATTCAGGAAAGTCCCCGTCCCCCATTAAGAAAGTTATATGCAGGATTGGAATTGCCCAAAAAAGATGTTAGATTGTTTTTGTATGCCACAACTGCAGCAAGAATTTTGTTAGCCAAAAACGGGAAATTGCAAGAAATACCAACAGTGGAGGAATGGCAGATGAAGATGATGGACTTTTTGGAGCTGGCTGACCTGACTGGAAGGATCCGCGATCAGAAAGAGGAGGCATATCAAGAAGATTGAAAGAAATTTAAGGATTATTTAGCTAGATATTCTAATATAATATAAGTAGAACTATTTGTAAGTACCAAATTGGCCTAGGAGTAAAATATGTTGAATTGTATAACATTATGGATTGAAATTATCATTAAGAGAAAGAAAGATAGCAATTTGAATAAGTTAAGTTTTTTAGAAAGTGGATATTGGAAAACTGCTACAATGAGATTTATGGAAACTCAGGGGGGATTTGAGGAAGTCATTTAACAATGAAAATTAAAGAGGGATTCAAACAGTTAGGCGTTTATATGTTTGCTTGTTTTTTCGTTTTAATATTGTAATGTTTTTTTCTATGTGTGTTTGTTGTAAATTTGGAAAACCAATAACTTTTTTTGGAAAAAAAAGAAAGAAAATTATATGCAATACTAGGGAGCCCTTGATGTTGATGTGGAAAGTTAAATCCGCCGCTGTCTGGCTGGAAGTGGGAGGGATGGGGAAGGCTGCTTAGCTTGGGGATGGGATCACTCTTTTGCAACCCATTTGCCCCCCCCCACGACTCCCAAGCCTACAGCGAGCCAGGGGAAGGAGACAGTGGTAGCAGCGGCTTTTCCGCTCGCTGGGTTTTGGGGAGTCACGGGGCGCGCACCAAATGGTATCCCCCCTTCAGCCTGACACCCAGTGGCGTAGCGTGGGGGGTGCAGGGGGGCCGGCCGCACCGGGCGCAACATCTGGGGGGGGGCGCTCGCACTCGCACCTCTAGTGGAAGAGACTCGAGTGCTAAAATCCACGGGTTAGGGGGCGCAAATTACTTGCCTTGCCCCGGGTGCTGACAACCCACGCTATGCTGACACCCGGTGCTGCCTCCACCCCCATTGCTACGCCCCTGCTAGGGGGCCCCTACCCTTCCCCACCAATTCCATCTACCCCTTTGCAAATCCTTCCCAGGTTACCCTGACCCCCACTTTTAAAGGAGGAACACGTGGGAGATTTCAAGGGGTCAAAAATAAATAAATAATGGATGTACCTGCTATATTAGAAGCAAAAAAACTTGTTTTGATGAATTGGAAGAGCCGCAAAAAGATTCCACTGAAATTTTACATCACATATCCAGCACACAACATAAAAGCAAGATTCCAAAGGATCTCTTGGACTTCTGTCCTCCCTTTTCTGGGCCCTACTGTTAATCATTTCCTCCTGCATCTTTTATAATAATCCAGATCTTCTATCTCTCCATTGTATCCAAAATTCACCATTAAACTACAAGTGATATTCCAATCCTACAAACGATTTTAACTGTTTACAATAAAATAAGTTATAAATTTTCCCCATTCCTTATTAAAAATTTTGTCTTTCTCATTTCTGATTCTTCCGGTCATTTTTAGCCATTTCGGCATAATCCATCAACTTGATCTGCCATTCTTCTCTGGTAGGAACTTTTTCTTCTTTCCATCTTTATTTAAGCTCCCTCTTTCTTTAATTCCAGCATCCTCTTCTCGCAGTGGCGAACCAGACCCCAATGGCTAGCAGGTGCGAGAGGCAAATCTACAATCATACCTCAGGTTAAAGTTGCTTCCGGTTGAGCATTTTCAGGTTGCGCTCCGCAGCGACCCGGAAGTAATGGAACGCGTTACTTCCGGGTTTCGCCACTCGCGCAGACGCTCAAAATGACATCACACGCATGCACAGAAGCGGCAAATTGCGACCCACGCAGACGCGGGTTGTGTTCTCTTCAGGATGCGAACGGGCTCCAGAACGGATCCCGTTTGCATCCAGAGGTACCACTGTACACCTATCATCATCATCATCACCATCATTATCATCATCAAATAATATGTATACCACCCTTCATCCAAAGATCTGAGGGCAGTTCGCAGCGTAAAAACACAATATAAAAACACAAAATACATAATAAAAACAAGAGCAAAACAAACCAGAAGGCAATTGGGCCGGATCTGGCCCCCAGGCCTTAGTTTGCCTACCCATGGTCTAGAACACACCCTTTGTGTGTTGTGGGACAGGAAGAAGAAGAAGAAGAAGAAGAAGAAGAAGAAGAGGAGGAGGAGGAGAAGGAGGAGGAGGAGGAGGAGGAGGAGGAGGAGGAGGAGGAATTTGGATTTGATATCCCACTTTATCACTACCCTAAGGAGTCTCAAAGCAGCTAAAATTCTCCTTTCCCTTCCTCCCCCACAACAAACACTCTGTGAGGTGAGTGGGGCTGAGAGACTCCAGAGAAGTGTGACTGGCCCAAGGTCACCCAGCAGCTGCATGTGGAGGAGCGGGGAAGCAAACCCGGTTCTCCAGATTACGAGTCCACCGCTCTTAACCACTACACCACACTGGAAGGGCTCAGTGGTGTATACAGTGGTACCTTGGGTTACATATGCTTCAGGTTACAGACTCCACTAACCCAGAAATAGTACCTCGGGTTAAGAACTTTGCTTCAGGATGAGAACAGAAATCATGCTCCGGCGGCACAGCGGCAGTGGGAGGCCCCATTAGCTAAAGTGGTGCTTCAGGTTAAGAACAGTTTCAGTTTAAGAATAGACCTCCAGAACGAATTAAGTTCATCAACCCGTACAGGTACCACTGTATGGCAGAAAAGTGCAAAGTTCCAGAATCAGGCAACAAGCCTGACTGGAAAGGCAACCACTGCCAGGGTCGACAGGCTTGTGGAAGGCCCAGAGCTCAGTAGGGGTTAAGTAAGGGGTTTTACTAAACACGAGTCAAAGGCGTCAGCAAAAATGCATCAGCAAAATGCATTTGCATCAGCAAAAAAAGCGAATGCCATTCTAGACTGCGTAGTGTGCTGGTCAAGGGAAGTCATAGTACTGCTCTGTTCTGCCTCGGTTAGACCACACCTGGAATACTGTGTCCAGTTCTGGGCGCCACAATTTAAGAAGGATATCGACAAGCTGGAATGTGTGCAGAGGAGGGCAACCAAGATGATCAAGGGTCTGGAAACCGAGCCGTGTGAGGAACGATTGAGGGAGCTGGGTATGTTTAGCCTGGAAGAGAGGAGACTGAGAGGATATAGCATAAGGTAAAGGTAAAGAGACCCCTGACCATTAGGTCCAGTCATGGCCGACTCTGGGGTTGCGGCGCTCATCTTGCTTTACTGGCCGAGGGAGCAGGCGTACAGCTTCCGGGTCATGTGGCCAGCATGGCTAAGCCGCTTCTGGCGAACCAGAGCTGCGCACGGAAACGCCGTTTACCTTCCCGCCGGAGCAGTACCTATTTATCTACTTGCACTTTTGACGTGCTTTCGAACTGCTAGGTTGGCAAGAGCAGGGACTGAGCAATGGGAGCTCACCCCGTTGCGGGGATTCGAACCGCCAACCTTCTGATCGGCAAGTCCTAGGCTCTGTGGTTTAACCCACAGCGCCACCCACGTCCCTTAGGATATAGGATAGTCACCTTCAAATATCTCAATGGAAGATGGAGCAAGCTCGTTTTTCTCCTGCTCTGGACCATATGACTGGAGCCAAGGGCTTCAAGTTGCAAGAAAGGAGATTCTAACTAAACAAGAGAAAGAACTTTCTGACAGTGGGACGGGCTCTCTTGGGGGTTTGTGGGCTCTCCTTCCTTGGAGGTTTTAGTTGGATGGCCCACCTGCCATGGATGCTTTACTTGAGATTCCTGCCTTTGCAGGGGGCTGGACTAGATGACCTTTGGGGGATCCTTTCCAGCTCTACAATGATAGGGAAAGCATCTGCTTTGAATGCCGAAAATCCCAAGTTCGATCCCTGGCATCTCCCACCGCTGCCAGTCAGTGTCGACAATATGCGGCTGGATGGGACCAAAAATTACAACGCAGCTTCCTGTGTATATATATGTATGTCAGAGACCCATGAAAGTCCTCCTGGGTCTGAAAGCGAGCTATCCCGCACCGCAGGAGAAAAACACCCGAGAGGTGGGCTCCGTGGGTTGCCCGTGAAGCCGCCTGGCCCTTTAACTCCCCCCCCCAACACACCCCACCCGCGCGCGCCTCTTTCTCGCTCCATCGCCCCCCATCATCTTCGCAGGGACAGCAAGAGCCGCGTGGCTCGTCCGGGGAAGGAGGGAGAGAGAGAAAGAAAGAGGGAGGGAGGCAAAGCAAGGCAGAGACAGGAGGAGACGGCGAGGGAGGCTTTTCTTGGTGGGGGGTGACGCAGAGAGCTTTCTCTCCCTCCTTCGGTGGGTCTCTAACCCCCCCCTCCGCCTCCACAACAGACACACAGACACAGAGGGGCAGCCACGTCGAGAGCAGCGGCAGAGATGTCTTCGGAGAAAACA